CCATTTTACAAAATACTCTTTACGTTTATTACGCATGCGTGATCTAAGTACTTCTTCGACTCTATAAAAATCACTGTCTGTTTTATTCACTCTTTGAAGCTCTTGTTCGTAAAATGTTCCTTTCAATTCTTCGTCATCAAAATCAGCGATCTTGTACACGGGTGGTCGTCGAAGAACACGTTTGGTTATCGTAAACACTTCTTCGGTCCAACTAGGTAAGTATCCTTTCTTAAATGTGCGCCTTGCTTTGCTGATTCGTACTTGATCGCCAATGTTAAACTTAAACCGAACGGGTTTGTCTGACTCTTCTCCATAAAGTTTTTGCCACACAATGCTCTCGTTGTCTTCATTTACATCAACGGCCCTCATACCAATACTACGATGTCTCGAACGATTATAAGATTTTACCAGTTTCTGGAGAATGTCCACGTACTTGAGCGTGTTCTTCGCTGTAAAGTATTTCCACATTTTCGTCTTGAGCGTACGATTAAACCTTTCGACAATCGATGCCTTGGTCTCGTTTTGCGTCGTGAAAAACCGGATGTCATGTTTCTTCAAAAAGGTTTGAAACTTTCGATTCATAAACTCTGTCCCTTTGTCAGTGTGAAACATTTCAGGCTTTCGACCCTTTTAAGTATTTTCTCAAAGGCTTCGACAGATTTTCCCCAGTCTTTGTTTTTATCGGTTCAACCCACGCATATTTGCTAAGTACATCGATTACAGTTAAAATGTACTTAAAAGTTAAAACCATTATTGTATTTGCTTAACGGGTCCATAATCACAAGATCTGCTTCCCACTGCTCGTCAATTGCGCCTACCATGACACGGTTCCGTTTGAAACGATATCTTACAGGTTTATGTAAAGTATATGCGTCTTGCTTTTGTAGCCATAGTCGTATTTTATTCCGCGATATCTGATGTTTGCCTTCGTCTTTTACGACACGGTAAATTGAATCTACGCCACCAAAGCTTGCGGGACTTTCTGGATTGTAATAGATTTGGCTCAGGTACTTTTCTGCCATCAATGTCTGAGGCTTGAATTACAATTGGGCATGGTAGAAAACGCGGGTACCGGATACCGGATACGGATACCGGATAGTCTTAAGGTGGCTCCCTAGGGTTTCATTTCCGGGGGTTACGTTCTTCGTGTAAAAACTAAACTAACTTACTAAAACTCGTGTGACTTCAAAATACGAACGAACGTTGTGTTTTATATGGAACCTTTTTTTAAACAAAAGTGTGAACTTTGCTTTAGTTGAAAGCATAAAAAGAGTTCTAAAAGCCAAAACGATACTTGGATGTGATGTTTCAAAAGAAGATAATGTAAACTTTTTTTTTTCAAGCGGTATTCTGGAAGTTTTTTGAACCGCCGTGGCGCCATACGCGAGGTTCGATTGCAAACATTGGGATATGATATAAAGTTTCCTCAAGAAATTGCAGTGTTTTCTCCACAATCTAGCAGCACTTATGACAATAAAGATGACTTAAATAATGAGCCCTCTACGGGTGAAATGAGCAGGGCCGAAACTCCAAACATACCACTATAAAAACTGAAATTTGAACGGGCATTTTGCGAAAAGTACTAACTCGCACGGGACGAATTTTGACAAAAACAATTTTTAAATTAATACCAAGAAGTCATAACCAGTAATTACCTAAATATCTTTGCCAATTTTACATGTATAATCCACGCTTAGTTGACCATTAACCGACACAGTTATGAACAGTACATCAAACATAATTTATATTTTGTGATTTCAAAAAAGTCATGCCTTGTTGTTTTATACAAAATGCATGTACACGTCAGTTGGGGTATTAAATTGTTCGCGTCAAAATTTAGTAAAAATTGCCAAAATGAAACCCAAATTTCTCTGTTTTCCTTCGGTGAAATTTTTTAAAACTTTGCACATTTTTTTAATATCGGCACAACAAGTGCAATATCCTTTTTTCTTAAAATTAAATCGAAGGGAACATTTTTAATATTGATTTTTGACGTTTTTTAAATTTTCTAAGAAACGTATCAATTAATTTTTTTGAATTGAGGGGAAAAAATCATTATACAAGTATTACCTTTTATGCAAAGTTTTAAAAAATTTCACTGAAGGGAATTTTTAAAATGACCTGAAAAAGACAAATTTTGAGCTTTATTCTAAGCATGTTGTTGCCATGAAAACAGATTGCCATGAATAGTTGCAATTTGTAATGTTCAGGAGAACATTGTCAATGTGTCCAATAAATTTCGTCTTCATGTCATGTAAAGTGAAGAAACAGTAGTCTCCTGAATACTATAGTGTATAGTAAATTAAAAAACCCTAGGGAGCCACCTTAAATATTTATTTTTAAGAATTAAAATTGTTGGTTATTGTATTTTTAGTCGTTTTCTTTCTCATTTCTAAGATTTTTGATTTGAATATAAGCGAATTAAGTCGTTAAGTCCTAAGACTGTTTTTCTTTGCATTTATTTCAGAATTATTTGTCAATAATCACTATATAATATCGCTCACATTGTGTTTGTGCTTAGTATTAGTTATTACAAAAATGTCAATTTCATTTTTGTTTACCTTTCTTCAACCATACCTAATGCTACATGTCTTTTATTGAGCACAAAGGTTATGTTTTTTTTCATAATACCACTCCAGGCCGTTATATTAAATTCCATGAGTGTTCTTCAATATATAATATTGTTTATGCAAAATATATCCAGCTTAATATAACGTTTGACCCCGTTCACAGTTACTCGTACGAATCCCCGTGTCAACAAGGTGGAACCGGACGAATTTGAGTACGGTCTGAAATTCGTCTGGTCTCGTGTGAACGTAGTATAGCAATTTGTCTTGACGATTTTGCTTTTGATTCACAAAAGCGTGAGAAAAATCAATCATGGACAGTTATAGTTAACTTAATAGTACGTATTATGATTAAATGGGCTTCCGGCTATGGTCTGACAAGGGTATTTAATTTTTAAAGCAAAAATTCATAAATAACATACAAAACGCAAAGAGGTCTGGCACAGGCCTGGACGCCTGGCCATAGAGATTATAAATAACAGTGTTATTTATAATCTCTTTGGGCTCAATCTCGTTCCCCGAGCATGCCCGTTCGCAGGTTAAGGGTGGGCATAGCTCTGGAGAAATCGAATTGATTCAGGCCTGTGATTGGCTAACGGCAGATAGTACGTTGGATTTCCAACGTTAGTTCTATATAAACAAAGTATTTGGAATTTCTCGTCGGAAATTTGATACTTTTTACACCGAAATCGATTGAAAACAACTAGAAATTCTGGGGGAAATATGTACGAAAGCTTCGGATTGATAGGGATACAACTACCTGAAAAATACAAGGAGAACTTCGACGTTTCGAGTGAAGGCGCTTCGACTTGTGCTGTTAGTGTTTGTATACATCGTACTTGACCTTTTATATACTGACATGCTGTCATACCTAACACTATGTATACCATAAATTCTGACAGGAGAGTTACATGTAAATTTTAAAGCATAAAAATACAGTGAATACTTATTATTGAGGAGATTATATTTATCAGCAAAGGTCAAGTACGATGTATACAAACACCACAATACCATCCTTGTACTTTTCAGGTAGTTGTATCCCTATCAATCCGAAGCTTTCCCCCAGAATTTTTAGTTGTTTTCAATTCGATTTCAGTGTAAAAAGTATCAAATTTTTGACGAGAAATTCTAAATACTTTGTTTATATTTTGCAACAATTGCCGAGCATGCGTAGAACTCACGTTGGAAATCCAATGTGAATCAATTCGATTTCTCCAGAGCTATGCCCACCCTTAACCTGCGAACAGGCATGCTCGGGGAACGAGATTGCCTTGGGCCTGGCACTGTCTGTCAAATCCCGCCATTTTTGGAGTCACGTGTTTCTACCACTGTTTCTACCATCATGGCTTTTACTTCTACACTGCCAAGTTTGAAAAGAGGTTTAAAAAGAAGTTTGAAAAGAACACAGTATGACATGCCACAGTTTGAGTTTCATGATTTGGATGAGAAAGAAGTTATTGGACGTGGGTCATATGGAATTGTCTATAAAGCTAGATATCTAAGCGAAGAGGTCGTCGTCAAAAAAATACTGGGTGAATCAACCGATGAAGAGGAGAGTTTTATCAAAGAAGCGAAACTGATTAAATCTTTAAAACATCAAAACATCGTATCCTTTAAAGGATTTTGCGCCAGCCCACTTGCAATAATGCTGGAGTATGTTTATTTTGATTTTAATCCTTTCGAAATTACTAAAAAAGTGAGTAACTTGGCTGATTTTATAAACTTTTCGGATAAAGTAGACGCATTTGAATTATTTGACTCGAAGATGTTAAACATCATATGCCGGGACGTGGCCGAAGGTTTGGAATACTTGCATTGTAATGATAGTGCTCATCGCGATTTGAAGGCCAAAAATATTCTGGTCAGCAACCAACATTACTCAAGCTTAATTAACGAGGATGAACGACACTCGATCTACCAACAAAATCCAATTGTTTGTAAACTCGCCGATTTCGGAGAGAGCAGATCCACATCAATACAACGAGCCCAACTTCATTCTACAACAAAGCATGTTGACAGGTATGCTGTGTATAGTAAATAATCTTTTTATATTCTGATAATTTATTTTCATGACTTTGCGAAATATGAAAACTTTATGGTGACACGGCCAATATAAAGGATGGTGTATTAAACTCGGCACCACAGGTTTTTATTTTTAATTCCCCAAGGGTTTTTTCAAACGCTCAGGCTTATATTTTTGAAAACTTAGCCATGTGATTTTCAAACTCATGTGATGGTTTTCTAATATTCAGGTTTTTTCTTTTTAAAACTTAGGTCAGTTTTATTTTTTTTTAAACTCAGGTTTTTATTTTTTAAACTCAGGTTTTTATTTTTAAAACTCAGGTTATTATTTTTAAAACTCAAGTTTTTATTTTTTTTAAAACTGGTAGAGACTTCATGTAACCCCCATTATAATATCAAAATGGTTTATGATTAGGATACCTGTATAGCATACCTTGCCAAACCTTGGGATACCTTATGGAACCTTAGCCTTATTTAGACTAGCTTAGGGTACCTGTATCTTAGGATAGAATGAATGAATAGTGATAGAATGATGATAGAATTTATGAATATGCTGGAGAAGGAATGGGGAACCAGCAGATAATACAGTCCTGATACAGTACCTAATTCAACTGCCAGGGCGTTAGCCAGAAGTAAAAAAAAATCCGCGTTTACCCGAAATTGGAAAATTTATTTTAAAATCTTTTCTCCCCCCCCCCGTCGCCAAAAAAATTTCGGTCAGTGTACCATTTTGGGGGTCCAAAAATTTTTCCGCACATATCAAAATTTTTCGCGACAATTTTTTGTGTCTTTGAAACGGCATTTCCCGCATTTTGGGAGTAATTTTGAGCAAATGTTGTTATAAACATGTTTTTAATGGCGTATTAACAACATATTGACGGCAAGATGGACGGCAAGATACGGTACTGGTCTATTGTCAGATGTGAAAAAAATAATTCAATTTTTGTGCTATTTTTTGGCTGACCCAAATTGGGAAATTGCGACCTCAAGGTAATTGGGAAAACCGCGTTTAATTAACGCGGAATTTTTGACTGTAGCTAACATCCTGACTGCCCTTCTGTACTATATTCTTTTCTGCTTGCTACAACTAAAATTTACATTATATTGCTAATGAGCATCCAAAAATAAGACAGGGCAGTACCTAACATATTGTAATTGGGGGG